TTCAAGTGAAAGCTGCGATTGGACGTACAGAGGTGCGAGATCTGAGAGGCGTTCAATATGATGATAGGCCTCATCGTTAATCAGAACAGGATCGTGGTAGTCGCCGCCGTGAACGACCCGATGGCAAACATGAGAGATGTGCTCCTGGTCGATATTTGCTTCTTGACTGATGCATTCGATGAAATGTGCAAAAGCTGAAGCGTGGTCCTGAATAGAAGACGACTCCTCGTCCTTGCTGGTGCCTCCCTCGACCTTGAAAGAGAATTTGGCGGGAGGCGCAGATATATTGGAGATGGAGGACGTGAGTACGAGCTTGACTGGATCCAATTTGTCGTCTGTAGATCCAGTAGTTTCATAGAGAGATATCTTGAGCGACGAGGACCCCGCATTTGCAGACAAGACAAGATTTCGGGGTGCCATGAGCGATTTGAGGTTGAGGTTGAGTCAAAGGCTCGAGTCGGAGTATTGGACTAAGTAATCTAAATTCGCTCGTCCAATCGTCATTTGCGTCACGATCAACCGCACATCTAGAACCAAGAACCACGGTAGCCCAAGGCCGGAAAACCAGAAGACGGCGACACCGAGAGATACAAGCATGCTGTAGGTTGATTGTGAAGTGTCAAGAGGGGCAGAGAGAGATCCAAGAGAATCTAGAACGAGGAAGATGCAGGATGGGAACAGACCCGGGAATTGCCGATACTGCTCTAGACTCCGTTATACACCGACGACCTTTGAATTGAATTGAAGGTTCATCTTTCTCCTTCGCTGCTGCGTTGTGGCTGAATCTAGACTCTGCTCGAATCTTCATCTCACTTCGAACGTGCTGAATTCTGTGTTATTGGCTGGTCTAGATTGCGACTTTTCTGACGCGCCATGACGCGGTTCACTATAAAATAAACTTGGGAATCGCCGAATTGAGATCCAACGACTTCTCGTCTACTTCAATATGCCTGCTCAGATCCTCCTCCAAGCAAATCCTCCGGCGGATCCTTCCCTCCTGCCCGATTCCATCCTGTCCCTGGGTGTTCAACTCGACACCAAGGACTACCTCTCCCAGGATGAACTCAAGGCAATGAAATTGTTCCGTCGCGCGGCCGACTACATTGCCGCTGCGATGATTTTCCTCAACGACAACGTCCTCGTCGAGCGCGATATCACTCCCGACGACATCAAGCCCCGACTCTTAGGCCATTGGGGAACATGGTGCGCACAATTTCTCGTTGAATCATTCGATCAAGCGCTGATTTTACAACTATCTTAGCCCCGGCCTTGCCATGGTAGGTCTTTGGTCGGTATAAGGCGGACTCCACCTCAAATTCGTGCAGGTATACGGAAACATCAACAGGCTCGTCCGCAAGACGGATTTGAATGCCTTGTATGTTGTAGGTCCAGGTGAGTCTTCCTTGTGTCTCTCTTGGACGATCGTTGAATTTGCTAGGCCACGGCGCTCCCGCCATCCTTTCCTCCCTGTGGCTCGAGGACTCCCTCTCCGCGTTTTATCCTTCGATGACTCGGGACCGCAAAGGTCTTCATGAACTGATCAAAGGTGGATTCCTTTCTATCTATTTTGGTGTGGTCACTGATATCTGTTTAGGATTCAGCGCTCCTGGAGGTTTTCCAAGGCGAGTCTATTCTCAGTCTTTTCTTGTCCTCATCTAATGCTATGATACCAGCCACATCAACGCCGGTACGCCCGGTGCCATTCACGAGGGTGGTGAACTTGGTTATGCTTTGAGCGTGTCCTTCGGCGCTGTCATGGATAACCCAGATCTCGTCGTAGTCTGTGTGGTATGTGCCATTTCATTCATCTCGAATCACGCTCACGGACCATCCAGGTGGGAGACGGTGAGGCTGAGACTGGGCCAACTGCGACTGCATGGCACGGCATCAAGTACATCGATCCCGCAGAGTCTGGGGCCGTGCTCCCCATCGTGCACGTCAATGGCTTCAAGATCTCTGAACGTACCATCTACGGAACTATGGACGATAAGGAGATGATCGCGCTTTTCACGTACGTTGTATTGGTTTTTCTCTCCTTGACATCAACTTAAAGTTTCTTTCAGCGGCTACGGCTACCAAGTTCGCATCATCGAAGATGCCGACAACCTAGATAACAACCTTGCTGCCTCATTCGACTGGGCTCTCGCGGAAATCAAGAAAATTCAATCCGCTGCCCGTAGCGGGAAACCCATCGTCAAGCCTCGCTGGCCCGTGCTCATCCTTCGTTCGCCCAAGGGTCTTGGTGGCCCCAAATCATTCCACGGAGAGGTACGTCCACTGATCACTATAGATAAACTAACTATAACACTTTGGCAGTTCATCGAAGGATCTTTCCACTCGCACCAAGTTCCGCTGCCAGGAGCCAAATCTTCTTCCGAGGAACTTGAAGCTCTTCAGGCGTGGCTCAAATCATACGGCCCTCAAGAATTGTTCACTGATGACGGTGCCCCCGTGCCCGAGATCCTCAGCATCATTCCCGAAGCCCCGGAAATGCGCCTGGGCCAAAAGAGGGAGAGTTTCCGCGCATATTCTCCGCTCACGGTTCCCCACTGGCAAGATTTCTGTGCCGAAAAGGGCTCTCAAGACAGCTGCATGAAGGCTTTGGGACGTTTGCTCAAAGCTGTGGTCCAAGAGTGCGTTTTTTGCCTCGAGAGGAAACTGAATTGACTGAAGCCGGCCCAGAAACCCGCAGAGGTTCCGAATCTTCTCTCCTGACGAGCTCGTTTCGAACAAGCTCGACGCCGTCTTCGATGAGACGGGCCGTAACTTCCAATGGGACGGGCAGTCCCGCGCTCAAGGTGGTCGCGTCATCGAAATCTTGTCTGAGCATACCTGCCAGGGCATGCTCCAAGGCTATACTTTGACTGGGAGGACCGGACTCTTCCCCAGCTACGAAGCGTTCCTTGGAATCGTGCAGACGATGATGGTACAGTACAGCAAGTTCACGAAGATGGTGCGTATATGTTACAAATATCCTCGAACTTTACTCAACCCATTGTAGGCGGGCGAGATCCCATGGCGCGAGCCCTGTGGGTCGCTCAACTACCTCGAGACATCCACTTGGACGCGTCAAGAACACAACGGTTTCTCTCATCAGAATCCGTATGTCCTCTAGCTCTCTTTCTGTTATGTTTCTAATTTATCTCAAGGGCCTTCATCGGCGCTGTTCTCAACCTCAAACCAGCCTCAGCCAGGGTGTATCTCCCACCCGACGCCAACACCTTCCTCTCCACGATGGCCCACTGCCTTCGTGCGAAGAACTATGTGAATCTCATGGTTGGCAGCAAGCAGCCCACGCCCGTTTGGCTCTCGCCTGAAGAGGCTGACAAGGTATATCCTCTTTTTCTCGCTCTGTCTCGCAACTGATGTGCCATACAGCACTGCATCGCCGGCGCCTCTGTCTGGAAATTTGCGAGTGTGGACGATGGTGTTAACCCCGACGTGTAAGCACAACTCTTCCTCCCAGTTTTCTCGCTCTGATGTCCCGCAGTGTTTTGGTCGGTGTCGGCGTGGAAGTCACTTTCGAAGTCATCGCCGCCGCGGCCCTCCTCCGCAAACACGTCCCGGAACTTCGGGTTCGCGTCGTCAACGTCACGGATCTCATGATTCTCAGCGCGAACGGGAAGCATCCGCACGCGCTCAGCGACGAGGCCTTTGATTCGTTGTTCACCCCTGACAAGCCAATCCACTTCAACTATCACGGCTACCCAATCGAACTCCAAGGACTACTGTTCGGCCGCCCGAGACTCGAGAGGGTGTCGATCGAAGGGTGAGTTGTTGTTTATGCTAAGAAGGTCTCTCAACTGACTTGAACTCGTCTAGGTATCGCGAGGAGGGTACTACGACTTCGCCTTTCGATGTAAGTCTTGAATGCCTTTGATGAATTAAGACTGACTTTTTGCAGATGATGCTATGCAATCATACCTCCCGTTTCGATGTCGCCGCTGCCGCAATCCGCGGTGGTGCCCTATCGAACCCGAAAGTGGCGGTCAACGCGCATGGCCACGAGTCTTTCATCAAGCACCTGGCAGTGAAGGAGAGAGACTATATCTACCGCCATGGAAAAGGTTTGTCCTGTTTCTGCTCGCTGCAAATTCACGCTGATTGTCTCTCAGACCACGACGACATGTTCAACACCCCGACCTTTTAAACTCTCATGCATTGTAGTTTGTAGAACACCCACGGCATGTATGCCAGTGTAGAATCACTATCATTTTGTTGCATGTATAATACCTAAGCGCAATATTACTTTCAGACTGTTGCATTGTATATACCTCGTACTCAGCCGTGCCCGCGCCTGCCGCCCACACCCCATTCTCTGGGTTCGAGTCCCAGCGTGAAGTGTGGGAAGAAGACCAAGTATTCATTCTTGTTGCCGATCTCAAGAACAAAAAATTACAACTCCGTCAGACTCAACGTAGGGAAACATGTACACTACTGCGACAGTGGGGGAAATTTGCCAAGCTTGCTCGTCACCTATCGGGCGCGAGCTGCATTACGGAAATTTGTCGCACCCGGGTTTCTCCATTCCCTTACTCTTGTTCAGACTGCTCAGTGTTGAATTTCGCGGGACTTTGATCTGACCGACCTACATAAGTATTAAGTATTGCGGAGCATTATGGCTCACTTCAACGCAGCCCAAGCACAAAAACGAAAACACTCACCGATAGAACTTCATTCAACGGCCCAAGCCACAAATTCTAAGAATGAACAAAGCAGCAACGAAAAAATCCTGTTCGACGCAAGACTTCCTGGCTCACCATGACATCGCCTCAAATCCCAAGTCGCCCTTGTCGAACACTTCGCAGAATTTGCGGCCCTAACTCCGCCTAAAATTCTACCAAGTTTAAACATGAAGTCGACTTGGTTTTTTTTGCACCGTTTCCTCAACAAGAGGACCGTTTTCAGGGAAATGCTCTAAGTCCGAATTTGATACAGCAGCGCTCGACTGCTACATAGAATACCTTGTGTCCTGGAGGTGTTTTGTAGGAGCAAAAAAGCGACCATGCTGGGACTCGAACCCAGAGTCTTTGCCTAGCGAAGGGAGCCGGAAAGCAACGCAGTAACCATTTTGCCACACGGCCATGAAAACCTCAGCTAAAGAAGATTATAGAACCCTTTAAAGCTCGTTATCGAATATTTCTTGCTTCTTTCGCTCCTCTACAGACCAAGACCACAGCGGGAACGCTTCCAGAGTTGTCCGAGCACTTTGTGATCATTGGCCAAGACATTAGGTTGCTGCTAGCAACGATTGGGCTGATGGTTGGAAGTAAAACTTGAAAGTTCGAGCGTGACAGGTCGTGACATATGTCACCCCGCATTTGTCCCTTCCACCTCACCTTGCTTCCACCCGATGTTCTCCCAGCTCTTGTGGTGTGCATCTAAGGGTCGAGAAGACGACCCCTCGTCACTTTCCCAACATAATTTTCGGCTTGGTTCAACTGCCTGTTGACTGCTGCCGTAGGCGCTGCCAGTTTTCTGGATACAAGCAAGGACGGATCGTTGCGGCTGCAGATCTGTTTTCACAGCGAAATCGGCGTACAACCAACAATCGTCCTAGTTCCCCCAGGTTCTAGGTTCTGCGACAACCTTTGTCTGCCAGTTCATGGCTAGCACTCCAGTCACAGCTCAACTTGCGCATACCTGCGCATACATACTACCTCCTTCGCCGAGATAACATTAGACTGACCAGAGTGACAATTTCCCCTCGAGATTCGGCGGCACCATATTCGAAACATGCAGATATTAAAATCACCCTTGGTCAGTGCTCTCACAAGTCAAGATCTCCGTAGGCACTAACCAGAGACCTTCATACTGTTAATATTATTCAACTTATTGGCTGTCCAATCTCACAATACTTCCTCGACACTCAGCGCTGCCTTGATGTCCTTCAGTTCCATCCGAGCTATCCATCCGGGTTGAGATCTGTGAATATTCGACGGAAATCAGAAGCTAATGCTGGTAACATCTTGCGAGCCAAAGTCGCAGTCGAGCGCTGATTCTGCACTCAAATGGTAATTTGCCGTCGTGTACTGGCAATGTGTACATTCTGTGAACTTGGGAAAATCTCTGAAAATCTTCTCAAAACCGCTCTTTCCACCCATCCAGTTTCCGTCGAAATGACCGCTTGCGTCCAATTGGTATTTTCCCAGTTTACACTGCTGCGGACGGCGGCGAGAATTGGGTCTAGCCCAAGTCTAGCCCTTGGGATCCTCGCCCGTGACAAATCGCTTAAAACAAGTAGCAAATTGCATCCGGATGCCCTGGGGTATTCAGTGACGAGATTACTCAACAAGCATTGGTCAGCGTCAAACTGCTGAAAGTTGTATTTCTCGGTCACCTCCATCATTGGTGTCCGTAGACCTGAATCTCACCAGCACAAATACAATAATCGGTACGCTCTATGGTAGCAGTGGAGTCAAACACATTCCGCGAAGGACAACTTTCTCAGTTAACCGAGGCGATATGATAATCAAAATATCGCAGTGATCTGGTGTGCCTTCAGTCGGACCGTCGACCACCTTTGTGTGGACCTGCCATCTCTGAGGGGGTTAGCCGCGCGCCTAGCTCTGTTTGCTTTGTGCCCACCCCCGTCCTTTCTTTGTTTCTTTCTTTGTCTCTGCCGACCTGTGGATGTCTTAGTATGGCCCACGCTCGTTCCTCTGTATGTGCCCGAAATTCCTCGACATGGTTCATCTAATTCGTGCAGAGCTCTAGCGAGTCACTCACTTTACCTCCAATCAATCTGCTATTCGCCGAAGTACTACAACGGCAACGAGCAGAGCCCTCTCATCCCCCTGTCCGCCGCCGCCCTTCAGCCTGGCCTGGTTTTGTAGGAATATGTGTCTCACACTACGCGTTTCTTTGAACGATATCGGCAGCCTGGCCCAGACAAGAACGCGCTATCGAGTTCTTCCGGATACCTAAATGCCTCCCCGCCACCTCCGCTTCAAATTGGCCGCCGTCCATCAGCACCTTCTTTGTCGTCTCGTGCCTCATCTCGCGCGCCGGTTCGTGGTGGTATTCTGTATGTCCGTTTTCACTGCACCTCACGAGCTTGGTGTAGGACGTGTTAATTAGTCCATCCATATTTACCTTTGATGCGAGAGACGAGTACATGACGGTGAGAGTGCTTATTCCCTTCAGTCATTCAAGTCTAGAACTTGCATGGTTCACAGCAAAGAAACATTCCTTCAATCGAGACAAACGTATGTTTTATCATTATCAGATCCGTCGATACTTCACTTTCTAAACCAGCGTCCAACCAACCAGAGCAGCCGCTCGCAATCTTCTCGCTCCGTAGGTGATCTTGCTGAGGTCCTACATTTCTGCTGACTTCTTTTTATCAGAGACCGCAAAGTTGGTCGGACCTGCAACCATCGCAGAATGCACCAACGGAATCCGGAGTGAGCCACTGGTTGCTTCATTATCGAATTAGCGCTAAGAACGAAGCATTCTTCCTTAGCGATTGCCCCCAATTGTGCTATCACCTCATTAAAAGATTCTCGCATACACTCACTACATACTCAGGCTATGGCGACGGGTTCACCTCGTTTGTATGAACGGGAAACATCGCGGCCATCGGTGCGTGACTCGACCTGCCAACACTGCATGATGGATCGCAAAATTGAAGAACAACGTGCCATTGCTGCTGCCCGGCCAGGGTCCTCCGAGTCACCATATGCGTTCAAGCAACAAATACCCACACCTCTTCCCCCCACTCACGGCCATACGATGATACAATTCCAACCAACGCCAAGCGCGTATAGCCGCTCCTTCGGCGTCGCAATGGCAGACATTCTCGAATGTCGGCCGTGTTTGAAAGATCCTGACACTCCAGTCCTCGATAATGGTTTAGAGGAAATATATCTGACACTCGAGGTTCGTTTAGATTGCATCTTTGGCTGTGTTTTCACTGATGATTGCCCAGGCAAAAGGGTATAGTACTTTGGTCCTGCCCATCTCAAGCAACTGTCTTCACAGGAGGATATCCCGCTACAATCTCGCGTATGCAGTAGCTTCCCAGTTCGACCACTTCTTTCGGGTTCGTCTTCATTCTCTTTCCCGCATGACAAACGCAAAACCTTTTTTACTTCAAGGAATCTTTCTTCAACCCTCATATAATCAAAGCGGCCGCCATCGTTGTGCGCCATATTGGCGAGCTCCGGTTGGTCAACTTGTATTCGCGCGACGGTAAAACGTGGAGGGTCCACGTCGCTTATATGACTTGAGGAAGGGGTTCAGTTCATTTATTGCATATGTATTTGTGGACATTACTCTTCACTCCGTATTTGTACGGAACACGACCATTAACGAATTCATATTTTTTGGGGCAAACTGAGAACACCAAATTCGATTCGCTCGCAGATTTCTCTATGCCAGATACCGTCTGATCTGAAGCTTCGACGTGTGTTGTATAGTAGGTATGTACGGTAGATAGATACAGGATGTACTTTACACAATAATTTAACGTTTACATATCAAGAACATCATCACAGTCCGTTCAATGTAAAGGACCGAGCAGCCTATCCGCGAGAACACGAACTAGAACGCGAAGATCGCAACGCATACCTACCTTCGCGCGCAAGTTCGGAGGGAAGTGCGACTGTATCGAAGGCAGGAAGTACATCATCTTCGGTCAAATCCTCATCCTCTGTCAAGTCCGAAGGCGGGGTATGAGTGGGTATTGTATGGAGACTCTTCAAAACCCGCTTCGATTTGGCTCTTTTGGAGTGCGACTTATGTGGAGTATGAGGAGCGGGACGAGGCGGTGTGCTCTCTGGTGTAAGTGGTAGGCGAGTGATTGGTGATTGCAGAGGCCGCCCTGAAGTTATATATACTTCAGGAACAAGCGGTGGCCGAGAAAGCGGCGGGACTGTTAGGAAAATCTTCTTCTGCACCGAAGGCGACGATGTAGAGGTCGATTTGCTGCGCGGCGCAGAAACAACTTTTCGCCGCTTGGCAGCAGGACTCTCTTTCGACTTTGAGGCAGCCTCCTTCGACATCTTGCGTTTCTTGTTGCTTTTTCCGCCACCTTGGTCTTGTACACCGTCAGCAGAGCCTCCTTCTGAGAGCTTCGCCTGTTCTTTCCGACGCCGCTTCTCATCCGCCATCTGTTTAGCTCTGGCCTCTTTGTCAATCTCAGCCTGCAGCATCTCCGCGAAGTCCTGAGCGTCGCCTTGTACCCACGCATCGAATACACCCTCCCATTCACGGGTTGGCACGGGAAAGTCAAGATTCAGGTAGACCGTCTTGATAGGTGGTTCCCGCTCTTCTTCTGTCGTCCCACTTCGAGCCCCCGGCGATGGACTGGGTCGGGTCGACCCAGAGGCGTTCGCATCCTTACCGCCACGCGCTCGCACCGCTTTGGCGAATTCTCGCACCATCCGTTTCGTGCCCTGGACACGCAAGCTCGTCCCAACTACCAGCAACAAATCAGCACCAGCACTGCGCCCCTTGCCCTTCGAATTCGAAAGCCCTAGCAAGTCTCGGCGAACAACATCACCCACCCCCTCTCCGTCCTTGTGCGCCTCGTTGTATAGCACGACGGATGGTCGCAGGCGACCCACACCTCTTGCGCGCTTTCCAACAAGTTGGCGCGTCTCCTCCATAGCCGTGCACTCCGGGCATGCGGGCGGCGTGCCCTGTTCTAGAGCTTCTAAATGATCTGAGAGGGCAAAAGACTGGTTGCAGATTTGGCAGTGAACATTCTGCAAAGTCCCATGCAGAGGAATGCATCGAGGAATTTCCGGTGGAGGCGTAGGCAGACGACTAGTAGAAGCAACATTCTCGGGCGGTACGGATTTCGGTACGCGGGGTTTTGAGCGTCGTTCTTGAAACGGGGGGACGCCGAAAGAGAGACCGGACTTTTGTTCGAGACTGTCGATATTTTGCGAGTACACTCGAAGCAATTTGCCCCTTTCATCTAGAGCGCGTAAGAGATTGTGAAAGGGTGTGGGTTGGGCGGCATTTGAAAGATCGGAAAGACGCGCAATCATTTGGTAGAACAGAGAAGTAGTGTTCTCTGACTGCGAGTGGATAGTTAGCGAGCTGTACGGCCTCAGGACTCAACCACTGCAGTTCC